CCCCCCCACGATCAGGTGTACTATCTGTTCCGGTCAGTTTCATATCCGATCCGTTGTCGGTCAAGAACTTCAAAAAAAGAAGGGAAAGGAAAACGGAAAATCCGTTTGCATACTGATCAGTTTAATGGAGAAAAAAAAAAACAAGGGAAGCATGAGCGATTTCGGAAATAAAAGAAACCTGAAACACAAGTGGTTTCGGGAAAAAAAAAGTAAAAGGAAGTGGGCTCGTGCAGTCATGCAGCCGCAAGAGGTAAGACGCAGAGAGAGGGAGAGAGTCCATCAACTTCTTGGCGAACTTTCATTTTCATTGCGGGCGTAGCCGCAAGAGGTCCCCTAGTAGCCAGGTAATCCCTCCGAGTCCTCGTGTTCTTCCTCCTCCTGTCCTTGCTCCTCCCCAGTAGCGCTGCTCCTTGCGAGCGCTGTTCCAGCCAGCGCTCCAACCAGTGTGTTGCCAAACTTGCACACTGAGAATGAGGAGCAACTGGCTCCTCCTTGAGATATAGCGGCCTGCTTGCCTCTTGGCGAGTGACTTCCCAGGCCGCAAGGCCTCCAAGCAACCGGTACCTCCTCCCTTTCGGAGGGAAACATCATTGCAGACTCTGATATTGCCCGTACAGGCCCTAGACTCAGACTGGTTGGACTGGTACCCGCCTAGACCTAGTCTACAACCACAGGGCCTCTGAAAATGCCAACTTTTGTCTTCTTCTGCTCGGCTTCGAGTACCCGGCACATCTACCTCTACTGGTGTGGTACTGGCCTACCTGCTACTTGAGTGTTTTCCGCTGCTTCAAGTGTCGCGGGCCTCTTTCCCCGCCGCTCGAGTGTTTTCCCCCGCTGCAATCCTCAATGTCACAGCCAATGGCGTGGTCACAGGTAAGCACCGGCCCTTCTGGCCCACTGAATGAACAAGTGCCCTTGAGGGTCACACACACTCAAGCCGACAAGCACTAGCCTGCACACACACAGACTTAGAGAACTCAGCAACAAGCGGGAAACTCAGCAAGGCATTCAGTCCATGAACAAAACTCAGAAATCAGCTGTGTCTCAGTCCATGTTTGGTCAGGTCATTACACGGAAGACAAAAATAATGGAGGTGTATCTTTCCATATTCCAGCAAAAGATTCATTCCCATTTTGTATATTTGGTGGGTGAGTAATGGAGCTAGGCCCAACAAAACGACGCCATGGGTAGAGTGTAAAAGAAAAAAAGTGAGGCCCACCGAAACGACGTGTCGGTGTATCCTTCCAACTTTTACAGAAAATTCATTCCCATTTCCCTATTTTCGTTGGTAGTGGACCCTGGCCTGTGCTCGGCTTCCCTATGAAATTGTACTCAAACATTCACGACGTGCCTAGCCCCCAACTCCGCCCTCCATCGAGATTCAAGCCGCCGCCGAAATCGCAGCAGATGCGTGGCCCGAGAAATAAACAGCACATTGGGCCCAGGTGGGAAAAAGGTCTTGTATGGGAGCGTTACGCGAGACCTGCCATTTTTCAGAGTATAGGCGGGGGGGGGAGGATGGACTATTTCTCGATTTATGCATGGCAGTCTTACGCAGGCGGCATGCTAATCTTTTCTTTCGGAGGACAGGGTGGTCAGCAGTCTGTTTGGCTTAGACTGATTCCTATATTTAGAGTTTAGCCTCAGCAGTCTGTTGTTTATCATATTAACCTTTGTATACTGCTGCCAGTTTATTTTATCTACGGTGTGGGAGGCTCTGAAGTTTTAGGAGAGGCTCAATCGGGTTCTGAACTTGGCTGGGGCCATGCACTTATGCGTTAATGCCAATAACCATTTGTTGCTGTCCTTCTCCAACGTTAGAGGAAACCTGAGTTGTAATGATTGCTTCGAGAGGAGTGGAAATGATGCAGCCTTGACGCATGCAGAGATGCATTTCACAGTTAGACTGCCTATGCGAGGAAGATGAGCAATAACGAACTTCAGCAATCAAACAGCATCATATATACAAGACCAGATAGTCGTGACCTCGAACCAACAGCAGAATTGCATCACGAGTTTCACCAAATAAGAAGACACCAAAAGCTCATAATTGACAATGCTGAAATAGTCCCATCATCATCATCAACGAAGAACCAATGTTGATATCCTGTCTGGCGCTTGGCTCCCAGACTACAGATGGCAGATCCTATCTAGCCTAGACTACAATGCTGAAGATGACGTCAACAGCTTTCCCGAAGTACGAGCATAGAGCGACCAATGTCGCACGCTTCCAGCACCAGGTATGTCTCTCGCCTCACTCACAACCTCGTTCCCCAACACACAGATGCCACTTGCACCAAAGGACCACCCTGCGCCACACCCAGCTTACAGCAGCGCAGCTGGGCTATGGCTGCCTCCCTGCTCGCCCGTGAGCGTGTGAGCGCTGGCCAGCAAATAGCGCAGCATGCAGCCAGCACCCGAATGCCCAATGTGGAGGCAGGCATTTCTATATCGAAGTGGCCTGCCTGCGTTCAGTCCCAGGAAGCTTCCAGTAGGCCCCGGTAGCCTGAGGCCCAGCCCGGATGAGAACAGGCCTTGGGCCTGAGGTGGTTGCATGTACCCAACTGCCTTGGCCTGTGTTTGGCCCAGTACCCGTATCCCGCCCAGGGCCTGCTTTCCATACATTCACACAGGCGGCCCAGGGCCTGGGTTCTCTCAACCAACTGGCGCTGCGCAACTGCCTGAATTTCCTTAGTTGCGCAGTGGCCGAAATAAGGCCCTGAGGGCCTCGTCAAGCCTGCCTTCACTTAGGGCGGCCGACAGGCTCCAAAAAGGGGCCGTATGGGGCTCATAGAGGCAGTGGCCTCGCACCTACATGGAATCGAGTTTAATTGGGTTTCAGCAATTCTAAGTCAGCACTTGAAATTGTGATCAAAGTGCAATGAACCCGACTGCAATCAGTTGCCACACCAAACAACAAAACCACGAGCCAACAAGGAGATGAAAGAGCCCTCCAAAATCTTTATTAATATACAAAATGTTTTCAGATACAAGCTGTTAATGGCCACTATTGCCACATGACCTTAACCAGGTAATCTCTGCTCCTAGTCTGTCTGTCTGTCTGTCTGTCTGTCTGTCTGTTTGTCTCTCTCTCTCTCTCTCTCACACACACACACACACACACACACACACACAAATACACCCGCTCCCCTTCCTACTTGGCCTTCTTGCACCCTGGCAGCTATGGCCGCCGTCTTCCTGCGCATCTACCCTAATTCTGACAGTTGTCGCCCTTCTCTCTCTCTCTCTCTCTCTCTCTCTCTCTCTCTCTCTCTCTC